TTTTTTCGTTTCTTTTGTGTGTGTTCCATGGAAAGAGACTGAAAGCGATTATTGATGAGATCTTCAGATACTAGGCAGTATATTCGTCTATGTTACGAACACGTTTATCTTCAGATACTAGGCAGTATATTCGTCTATGTTACGAACACGTTTGACTTGCCTTTGTCAGTTGTGCTGCCTGGTGTAGTGAATATGTGGTGTTGTTCCATCACATCTTTTAGTTTTTATGCTCCATCGCGTAGATACGCAATGTCGCTGATGGCTAAATCCAAGATCCATTCATACCCTGATCCACTCAATTTGATTCGACTCTCTTTTTGATCTTTGTGATGTTCGTTCATATTTCCCATTAATCTTATTGATCCATAAATTTCTGATTCTCTCTGAAACTATAGGTGGAGCCATGGAGGCATGGTTGTCCGGTGGCATTGCAATGAGGATCGATCTATTGGCTGTACTTGATTTGTTCTCCTTTGATTTCCCTAACTTCAATTGATTCATAAATGCTAATTTCTCCTAGATGTGATTCGTCCCGCAGTCACCAAACACATGGAAATAAAGGACAAATGTTCTCCATTTCTCCTAGATTTGAAACAGTTACTAGTTGCATGAAAATATCACGTGGCGTCTACAATTTCTCCATGATCGATAGTTTCGCGGTGGACTGATGGATGTGCTTTCCAGATGAGGAATTGCATCGAGGAGGAGTTTGTGCACATACTCCGGCGCCAAAGCACAGGGTTCACGAGGGGGAGCTCAAAGTGTCATGGCGTGACACTGCACAAGTGTGGCTGCTGGGAAGCTAGGATGGGGCAACTTCTTGGCAAGAAGTAAGCTGACATTGAAAAAATTGTCATGCATACATTGTAGCGCCTGTCTTTCCCTTTTTTATACTTTGTTAGCTTGAGTTCAAATGTTTTTATGCATGGTTATGAGCAAAAAGTGATGAGATGAAGTTGGCCTGATTTTACATTGGATATGGAGGTGCTCAATGATTAGTTCGACATATTTTAAGTTCATGTTAGGTCCTTGCAGCTTGCGGCCTATTTAAGGGATACAACAATTCTTGCCATCTTCTTTGGTTGATCTTGCTTCTCAATTTCTATCCACATAAAAGTTCTATTACTCTCAATTTCTACTATCTAGAATATTGTTTCTGTAGTAATTTTTGTAAGAGAGTTGCTATAAATTTTTGTAGGAGAGTTGATAGTTAAGATGATCTTCATAAGTATGCGTGGCAATGATTTTTGTGCTCTAGCTTTGGCTATTGTTTCTTTGGCGACGTGATTGTAGCATCTTTCATCCCAATTATGGTCCGTAGCGTTAGCATGGGCAATATACTATGTATAATAATAGGCAACCTTTCTTTGGAAGCGCTGTGATTATTTCTGTTGCATCTTTGCCACATTCTTGCAATTAGCTAAATCACGTGGCATCCATTCCAGTTTTTCTTTGGTCTATGCTGTCACTGCAGAACTACAGTGAATCGTTAGTTTAGCATGAACTATGATTATTTGAGTAGATGAATGACTCAAGAAACAGGCTCTTCCCTAGGAAGGGTTTGGCAAGGCAAGCTACTTCAAGAACACTAAGATCCAAGTGCCACCGCTGTCATCAGCTCCTCGCTGCCTTGCCTGCTCCAGAGACGGACCCAATGCCATGATATACACCGGGTTCCTGCGCCTTTGCTGCAAAGCCACCATACCAGACGGCTCCTCGCTGAGACAGACCCATCCCAGCACCTGCGCACCTCCAAGGTCAGCTTGCTCTACCTTGCTCATATTAATTGTCTCTTATCCCATAATGCACTGCCTGCAGGGAATAGGAGTTTAGTGAGAAGGTTTCTTAGCAAATTCTCTGTATTATTCTGCTTTGATTAATTGCGTGTTTAGTGTTAATTTGACTTCTAGGCCCTGTTCGCTTCTCTTATAATCCATACTTTTCAGCTTGTTTTTTTTTCAGCCGGAACAGTGTTTTTCTCTCACAACAAATCAGGCGGAACAGTGTTTTTGCTTGTTTTTTTAGTGAAGCGAACGGGGCCACTCTTTTTGTTCAGACCACAGACAGTTCGAGAAGAGGAGGGAAATTTTTGCCAAAGAAATTGATATTGTTATAGTTGATGTGGTACGCCCGTCTATCTGTGCCGATCTCATATCCTCCAGCTTGCTTCATTATGCCTTTGTTTTGTTAGTAGTTCTCAATCGATGGCTTTAGCTTGCTGGTTGGGAAAAATAATCTGCAGTTCTGCACTGCCATTTTAGCAGAAACTATATAAAAAGTTTGAAATTGTCATCAATGGCTTTGTCTTTTGAATTGAGAAGAAGCTGCTGATCAAATTAACCGTGAGTCAAGGTTTTTAGAGAAGGTACTATCACCTCATTATTTATCTTAAATTAGCCACTTTATCTAACTGCTTCCATTTTTACCGTTCTTAATTTTTGAAATTGAGAGATGAAGAGCCCGATTAGAGGGAGGTAAGGGCATTGTTTTAGAGGGAGTTTTTTTTTAAAAAAATAACTACTTATGGCTATATTATTCCTTGAAGCATCCAGAATAGTTGTTCCAGTTAGATGCTTTGTGCAATTTAGCTTACTTAATGAGCCTGCTCCAATCAAAATGTGTCTCTGCTATTTTTAAAATATATATGGCCACTTTTGTGTTGTCATGATTCTAGAACATGCCACTTAAGTATAGTTCAAATAAAAGGAGACTATAGAAAAACCTCTAAGGTGAGACCGATATATTATTTTGTCACAGCTTGAAACCACACCACCACGGTCATTTTTTATGATGATCAATTGATCACCGAATCATATCAGGTACACTACATTGTCTTCAATGCTGTTGGCAATATAATTTCTGGTTTGTGCAGATTAGCTATCAAGCCGGACCATATCCTTCTCAGTGATGTTTCTGAATGATGGTAAGATGGTAATGATCTATGATGTTGGACAGCTTGCTCCTCCATTGTGTGAAGAAAAAGATTTGCTCAAATGGGGCTGAAGTGAGAGACAATTAATATTCTTAATTATGACTATATTTGTTTTACAAGGCAAGAAGTGGGTGTGGTTGGTTGCCGCTAGATCGCTCAGAGTACATTCCATTATAAGTAAAGGTTATAGTAATGAAACGACACTATAGTTGGGAGTTGTTCGTCTGTCTCGTGACTCATCTTGATCTCAGACAAGTGGCCTCATTTTGATCTCAGACAACTGTCAGTAGCAGATATATGATTTTACTTCAGCTTTGTGCAAGGAGGATTCAGGTATCACCAGGCAAAGGAGTCGTATATGATGTCGATGTATTGCACGTTGCAAGCGCTTATCGCCTTGAAGTTGGACACTGATCAACGATCATATGGATGTATATCACTCATGTGTTTGTGCATTTTCATTTATGTGTGTTCCTTGTGCTGGTTCTGATGGCACTTTTTTTGAAACCTGACATACTTTCCACTGGTGCATTTTGATTAATTGGTCTTGTCTTTCCACGATTTATTGATGAATATTTAAATAAGATGCTCATAGATTAGCCAAACAAGCTTGACGATTTGCTTCTCAATCTTGTACTTCTACCTGTCAAAAAAAGTTATTTTGGTATTTCTATAATGTATTATGCTTTGAGCCCTCCAAAAACACATTGAAAAAAAAAATTATAATCCCGTTGCAAAAAAAAAATTCTAATCCCGTAGCAACGCACGAGCATGAACCTATTCGTGGATTTATTAGCGAACGAAAGAAATAGATATTGGAGATTTCTTTCTGCTGATATAAAATATTATTTTAGCTGCATCACGGAAAGGTCTATACAATAGAGTTTGTGAGCCTATGACGCCACGCTCTTCGTGACTGTGTTAATTTCAGAACTTTGTCTTTTGGATTAAATATCACTTTAACGTCGGTATTTAATTTTATAGTATTGTTATCTTATCATGCGGACCGTGGGTTTTTAGTACAAAAGTTTAGCTGTCCCGTAGCAACACACGGGCACGAACCTAGTTATAAAAAAAAGAACAGGTGACGAGAAGGAGAAACGGATCGATGGGTGTTGAAAAAACAAAAGAAAAGGCGGCAACGGAAATGAGAAACGGTCGGGCGTCCTGATGGATGAAGAAATCTGTCTGGCTTTAATATCAGTATATATCACTAGATTAGATAGAGATATAAATTAATGACGTATATAGTAGCAATATCCTGGCGGCTGCGTTCGGAGATGTACGAGAAGCCAAAGGCATCCTACTATTTTAGCGTCCTCAAGTTGGTCAACTTTTTTTTTCCCTAACAGATATATACAGTAAATTTTGACTTTAGCTTGAAAGATGAACGATAAATTTTGGGCTGCTGCTCACCACTTCAGTGTTATTAGTTTCTCTAGTCAGATGTTTTGCATGTTGACTCGCTTGAAATATGATCCTGCAGTGACGTGTGGCGTTTTCTCAGCAAAGAAACGACACATTTCAACAACAAGCAAAGCATTAACATTTTTTTTTACAACAAGCTTTAACATTTATTGGTTTGCTTCGAGATATACACCCTAGGACGTGCAATAATTCCACACGTAAGAAAATGGACCCAATAGAGATATAGAAGTGGAGATATATAGAGATGGTATACAAACGAGACTGTCTTCCTTGGGTGGCACGGTCGGGTCTGCAGGTGCCGGCCGCCGCAGGCGTGTGCATGACATCGATCATCGAAGACCCAAGGAAGAAGATGGATATCTCGATCGACCCCCAGGCCGCAAAGCGGTGCACTCTCGCTGGTTCGTGCAAGAGTCATCGGCATGCATCTCTCCGGGGCCTCCACCTGTGCCTGCCGAGGTCAGCAACCGTATCACTCGCCGCGCGCCGTGCGCCTATATAAACCACCAGTTCCCTTTGCAGCCGTACATACCATCTCTCGATCGGCGTACCTCCTCCTCTGGAGGTAGCTTGATTATATTTTCAACTCCGATCCATTCCCAATTGCATCGCCAGGACTTGCCGGTCCACGGACGGCGATATGGGGGCTTCTCAGGTGTGGTCATCGGCGCCGGCCTGGCTCGTGATCGTCGTCGGCTTGGCGGCCGTGGTTTGCTCGTCGGAGGCTCACGTCTTCTGCGCCGGTGGCCGCGACGGCTGGGTCCTCGACCCCACCGAGAGCTACAACCACTGGGCCGGGCGCAACCGGTTCCAAGTGAACGACACCATCGGTAACTGCGCCATCTCTCCTCTCCTCATTTTGCCCTCACGAATGCCGCACATCCCGATGAATTGGTTGAGCTCGAATCATGCGTGACGTACGTGCGTCTTCCTCCTGGCTCGCAGTGTTCACGCACGAGAAGGGCGTCGACTCGGTGCTGCAGGTGACGGAGCAGGACTTCGACACGTGCAACACGCGCAACCCGGTCCGGCGGCTCCAAGCCGCCGTCGGCAGCAGCGGCAGTTCGGTGTTCAGGCTCGACCGGTCCGGCCCGTTCTTCTTCATCAGCAGCGACGAGGACCGGTGCCAAAAGGGCCAGAAGCTGTACATAATCGTGATGGCGGTTCGACAGCCGACGACGCCGCCGGCACCGGCAGTAGCGCCGGCACCTGACTCTGCGTTCCCGCCGGCGCCGGCACCTGAATCGGCGTTCCCGCCGGCGCCTTCACCGGTGTGGGCCTCGGCGCCCGAGAACGCGCATGCTCCACCGCCGACGGCGGGTGCGTCGCGTCTGGTCATCGACGAAGCGATCATCGGCTCTGTGGTTGGGGTTATAGGGGCTTTGGTGCTCTGTGCCGTGTAGTAGATCAGAAACCAAAGAGGGGGTTGCGCCTGTGTCGTTTTTGCCATCTCTGAACAGTTAGTTGTGCGAGAGACCGCGGTCAAAGTTAGTTACAGCTATGCTTAGATCCGGAAGCAGACAGAATAAAACATATTCCCCTCTAGTCGTGAAAGGATGGCCTTTAGGACAGTCAAATTGCACTGTATACAGGCTAGTTAAGCCATCTTAAACATCATGATAACACATGACTACTGGAGCATATCAGCATAGAATGCAAAAGAGTATTTATTTGGAAACAAATGAAAAACGACGATCATTATTTACCCATGCTAGAACCTAGAGAAATAGGAGGATATTCAAAAGGGATATGAAGACACCTTCACAAATAGTGCTTTTAACCAAGTAAGAGATGGCTGTGAGAAGGCAGGCATGAGGTTAGCCCTGTATAGTTTAGTTCCTGATGTACTCCCTCCGTTCCAAAAGGTTAATTAGCCCTACATAGTTTATTTTCTAACGTACTCCCTCTGATCTTTTTTTTTAAAAAAATGTACTCCCTCTGTTCCCTCCATTCTAAAAGAAATGTTGTTTTTTACTATGAATCTAGATAAATATTTATTTAGATTCATAGAAAAAATAATATTTTTTGAACGAGGGAGTACAGTTCTAAATGCCCTGAGTTACACGCTCTTAAAATGCAATATAACATGTAAAACATGACTACTTCTTAAATGATATATGACAATGTTCCTGCCCAATATTTCAAAAAGAAAACAAATGATATACAGCATGTTCGCATGTTGGTTTCAGCCAGGGCTTATCAACCAGCCAATAGTGTTTTCCTCTCACAACAAATCAGCACCAGCCGACCTTATCAGCCCAGAAACCAACCAGCGAACATGCCAATAATGTTTGGTAGTCGACACCAGTGGAGCAATATATGTAGGGTTTATTGTACTAGGACGGGACGTGCGCTTCGCCGCGCTTGCATCTGCTATACTCGCTTATGTTAATCAAGTGGGCCATTGATTTCATGGTATATACATTCATCGCCATTGCTACTAATGCAAAATACCCTACCCTCATGTTGCGGACATGTTACATGATATACTGACCATGGAGGAAAAAAATAAATTCTAATATGTAACTTGAAACACTTGTAAAAGGACATAAAAAGACTTCAGAAAACGATTAGATTCTTGTGCTCGGCATATCAATCAAACTGCTTTGGCAGTTTAGCATGTAATATTACTGATCAGTAGAAATGGAATATCCAAACATCACCGTTGCAAGATAGGTCAACGTAGTTAAGATTCTATTTTGAAACTATGAATTTTGTATATGCGTAAAGGGAGACTCCCCAATATATTATATGAATAATCAATTGAATTGTGTTGGCAGTGTGAAACTAACTATAGTAACAAAGGTCAAATATTACTCTTTGTGGATGATCAGGATTAGCTCATGGAATAATTGCAGAATAAAATGGCAGCTATGTCAATTGGAAAGTAGTGGGCAAAGACAACTCATATGCTGGCTCGCTGATAAGTTCATATGTAAGGCTAAAACCACGAACCAGGTCATGGAGCAAATGGCTAGTGTGTGTAAACATACATCAATTTTGAGATAGAAAAGCGTGAACCTGTGACATAGCAATTCTATTTAAACTTAAATAATCTCACAGGTACTAAATCTCATATTTGGAGGTGTTATAGCAATATTAATCTGATGAAAGTTTGGACTGCATTCAACCTCACCAGGGAAGCAAAATTGGGAGATGGCTAGTGTCATACTTTTTATAAGCCAAAGGGCCTCTAGTCCAGTTGGTCAGAGTATCCCGGCGGCACTCCTCAGGTCCTGGGTTCGACTCCTCTTGAGAGTGAATTTTAGGCTGAGGTAAAAAAAAATCCCCTTGTCTGTCCCATATCCAAAGCACTGGGGGGCATCGGCCTAATTCTCGCTTGGGCGACGGAAAGCCAGGTGGGGTGGGGGTTTTCTCAGCCTAGTGAGAATGTCTTCTTCTTATTTGGAATGTTGTGGGAGCAGTCTTAACCCCTTCAGGTCGAGTTTTTTTTCGCACTTTTTATAACACAATCTATGGATAAAGATACTGAAAGCGGCAGTGCTCAAAAGAGCCTAACTGTGTTCACCGTATGCTGCAGTAAACCAAGCAAACCAATATAAATTAGTAGAAATCTAATGTCAGCAGGAGTAAATCAATTAATGACTGAAATCGGAAATCTGGCCGATGCAGAGATACATTGGAATCAATTCCAACATGAAGGAAAATTGATATACATGAACTGGCCAAAATCTAGAACAATGCAAAGGTGTTATTATACAACATATGAGGAGAATGTCTTACCTATCATAACCATGCAAGACTGAACACGTAAGCTGCCTTTTGCATTGTTGGGGAAAAACTGAACATACACATGAATCCAGGAAAATAAAAGACGGAATACTTTGGATTCAGTAGAAGTATAGTGGATAAACATAACATGTTCAATTGCCCGTAGGAATGGATGGGCCTAATTCATTATTTCAGCAGTTGTAGCACAATGCAAACATGTATATGTTGGTATGCAGTGATGTTCAGAAATGTTTGGAAAACACAGAGTAATCTAACAATGAACTTGTGACAGAACCGCCTAATCTAATACCCTCCCAAAAATACTTGTCATCCATTAGACACTAAGTACCCAAGGGAGTGCACTAAATCATGTCGTTCCGTCGAACCCACCCAAAAGGAGAGCTCAAAAATCCACATTTTTCGTCAGGATCATAAATGAGAGAATAAAGCTTACAACATTATTAGTCATTTCTTACATCACATTCGAGTACTTAAACAAGTTGAATGCAACAGTGGGATTAAAATAGTTTACATGTGAACGAGTTTATACATTTCAGGTTGACAAATTTTATCTTGCAGCGGAAAATAAACATATGATCAGAGTTACAGCGGAAACAAAGATTAATTTAATGAGATGGTGAAGCATTAACATAGTGGCCATTTATATACAAGATATGCTAGCAGATTTTAAATCTTTTCTTATAAAACATTTAGTAAGGGTTATAAATAAACACTACGATCGTAGCGTGAAAGGAATTCTCTTTGAGCCCATCAGGAGGTTTCCACACACAAAAGTCAGCTCTAGCATCCACCTATCACCTACAACAGGGGGAATAAAACCCTGAGTACTCGATTGTACTCAGCAAGACTTACCTTACAAGAGGAAAGTAAAATACTTCAAGAATATGCAAGACTTATTTGGCTTGCTGGTTTATTACATTTGCAGGTAGCATTACTAATAGTACATCCTTATGTTCTAAGTTTTTAGCAGTTATTTTTAGTTAATTAGCTAATCATTCTAGGTAAGCGCATATGCTACTTTCAATCATGTGATAAGCAATCAGAACCATTTTACCATCTTTCGTATTTCAGTTCTTACTACGGTGCTAGACCATAGCCAAGTCGTTACCGTCTCACAGAAACGGCGATTCATGAATCAATGTATCCCAGCTAGGTACCTGAAAGGTCCTAATGGCTAGAGGGGGTGAATAGCCTATTAAAAATTTCTATAACAACACTTAACAAACCGGTTAAACAAATATGAGGCGAAGCGAGCGTTGCGCTAGCCTACTAAAAAGCAAGCCACCTACCACAATTCTAGTTTCTATTCTCTCTATCCACAAAATGACTATGTCACTACACTAAGTTAGTATGCTCTCAAATGCTAACTAAAGAGCCACACTAATCAAACTAACAAGCTCTCACGACTAGCTACACTAAAGAGCTTAACAACTAGTTTGCGGTATTGTAAAAAGAGAGAGCAAGATGGTTATACCATTGAGTCGAGGAATGAACCAATCAATCACAAGAATGAATACCAATGAATATCAATCACCTTGGAATCAAATGTTGGCACAATGATTTTTTACCGAGATTCACTTGCTTACCGGCAAGCTAGTCCTCGTTGTGGCGATTCACTCACTTGGAGGTTCACGTGGTAATTGGCATCACACGTCAAACTCTCAATAGGGTGCCGCACAACCAACATAAGATGAGGATCACACAAGCTACGAGCAATTTACTAGAGTACCTTTTGGCTCTCCGCCGGGGAAAGGTCAAGAACCCCTCACAATCACCACAATTGAAACCGGAGATAATCACCAACCTCCGCTCGACGATCTTCGGTGCTCCAAGCCGTCTAGGTGGCGGCAATCACCAATAGTAACAAACGAATCCTACAGCGAAACATGAACACCAAGTGTCTCTAGATGCAAACACTCAAGCAATACACTTGGATTCACTCCCAATCTCACAAAGATGATGAATCAATGATGGAGATGAGTGGAAGGGCTTTGGCTAAGCTCCCAAAGTTGCTATGTCAATGCAAATGGCCAAGAGAGTGAGCTTGAGCCAGCCATGGGGCTTAAATAGAAAGCCCCCACGAATAGAGCCGTTGGCTCTCTCTTCACTGAAAAATCAGGGCGACCGAACGCGCCGGTCAGATCGACCGGACGCAGGACCCCAGCGTTCGTTCACCCGATGCTTGCCATGTGTCATCGACTTCAAACGCTGATCGCCCGATCTCAACGGTCGTCAGTGCACTTAAGTTTTGACCGGACGCTCTACAGTGTAGGACCGGACACAGGACCCCAGCGTCCGGTCACTTCCAGTAAGGTTCCAGTCACGACCGGACGTGTCCGATCATAAGCCACCAGACGTAGACAAGCCAGAGTCCGGTCATTTCCAGAGAGCTCCCTGAACCTCTGTTTTACGATCGGACGTGTCTGCTCCTGTACAACCGGACGCAGCACCTACGTCCGGTCATTCTCCAACTGCCACGCGTCACTGCTGTTCCTCACGCTACCACGTCAGCGTACGTCAGTACTGACCGGACGTAGGCCCTGAGCGTTCGGTCACTCTTCACGCCAGCATCCGACACGAGACCGAGACCGCGCGCTCACAGCTGCTATCGACCGTCAGAGTCCGGTCACTGTGTGACCAGCGTTCGGTG